TAAGATGACAAGGTGGTGAAGAGATCAAGTATCAGGCATGAAAGACAAAAAAAAAAAAAAAATCATAACATTGTGAATGAGGGAGAGTGCAGAGTGGGGATCCAGGGCCCATCCGGGGAAATTGGACATCCCCTTGCAGAAGGGTTGCGGGGAGGAGAGGAGCAAATCAGAGTGCAGTGTAGCAACGATTAAATATGCAATTTTCCTCTAGTTCTTAAATGCTTCCTCCACCCCACTACCATGATCCCAATTCTATCTTACATATCCAGAGGGTGTACACTGGCACAGATAGGAAATGGAAATACAGTGAACCCAGAACAGATGAACCCCACAGGGCCAGTGGAGAGAGTGGCAATATAAGGAAGGTGGAGGGAAGGTGAGGGAGAAAGAGGGAACAGAAGACAAGGTCTACATATGCCCCCCTCCCTGGAGGATGGACAGCGAAGAAGTGTGTGAGGGAGACGTTGCATGGGGTAAGATATGATAAAATAATAATAATTTATAAATTATCTAGGGTTCATGGGGAGGGGGAGGGAGGAGGGAGGGGAAAATGAGGAGCTGACACCAGGGGCTCAAGTAGAAAGCAGGGGTTGTGAGAATGATGAAGTCAACATATGTACTAATGTGCAGGACACAAATGATATAGGTATGGATTGTGCCGACTTGTGTGAGCCCCCAATAAAATGATTATTTTTAAAAAAGTATTAAAAAATTTAAACAAAACAAATTAAAATAAAGGAGAAACCGGAAATAAAAAGCATTTTATCACCATAGATTAGTTTTGTCTGTTTTTGAATTTACTATAAATGTATTCATATGACATATACTCCTTGTATCTGGTTTCTTTCACTCAAGATAATTCTTGAGATTCATCAGTGTTGTAGAAATCAGTTTATTCCACTGTTGTTACAGAGTAGCATTTCCTTACATGAATCTGCTACTCCATGCCCCCTTCCCCTGCAATTCTGTTTATGGCCAATTGGAATAGTCTCAATTTTTAACTATTATGAATAAAGCTCGTATTATCACTCTTGTATAAGAAAATCTCTCTCTCTCTCTCTCTCTCTCTCTCTCTCTCTCTCTCTCTCTGGTGTGTGTGTATGTGTGTGTATTAACTGTCCTTTCTTTTGGACAAATACATGGGTATAGAATGGTTGATTCATAGGGTAGGTATATGCTTATGTTAATAAGATTTTGATGATGAGTTTTCGAAAAAGAAAATGCACAATTTTACATTCCACAAAGTCAGCAGTCGCAGGTTGAGTCTCACTTTGGACCTGATCATATTGCGGTGTATCTCTCATGTGTTTTGTCATTGCGGGTAGCCCTCTTGTGTTTTTGTTCTAGAATCCACTAGAAGCTCCTCAGTAGAAAGATGTAGCTGTCTACTCCCTTAATGATTTACACCTTTGCACACTCTGGGGAGCAGTTCTCCTCTGTCCTATAGGACTGCTGTGAATTGGAATCGACTTGTTGACACTGGGCTTGATTTAGAAGCTGATGGGAATTGTAGCACTTCCACATCTTTCCCAAACTTTGGAGGTTGTCCTCTTTGGTTTTAATTTATACAAGAGGATTCCATTCTATTGTAAGCTCTCAGGTATGATGTTATTTTGACAGATTCCTGAAGACCAAGTGCAATGTCTGAATCAGCATATCGAAAACCAACCAACCGGCTGCCGTTGAGTTGATACTGACTTTCAGCAAAGTGCTCTCAGGTTTTCCGAGTCTGTAAATCTTTACAGGAAGAGACAGCCTCATCTGCTGGTGGGTTTGCACTGCTGAGCTTGAGGTTAGCAGTTCACTGCTTAACCCACAGAACCACTAGTTCTTTTTTGACCCAAACTGAGTGCTTGGTAAATTATGTCTTTGGTTACTTTTCGTGTTTGTTTGTTTTTTAATTTCCTTTGTCAACTTAAGGAGTATATGAGAGAACTCTGAATGGTAAAGGGAAGAGTGAAGCTGGTTAATATGGCAGGGTCTACCTGGAGATACGTCCCAAAGCACACCAACACAATTCTAAGATTGCCTAGACTAAGGGAGGTTGGAAAACACAATTCTCCCTTTTCTATCCCTCATTGTACATCAGAATCATAGGATGAACTCTGAAGATTATGCACATACTTGGCCTCACCCTAAACACTTGCATACAATTAAATTGGAGTTGGAGTCAATCCTTGAACTTTCATAGGCATTTTCCAGCTGTATCTTTTATACAACTAAAGCAATACATTATTGGCCTTAGTATAATGGAGAATAAGAGGTTAATATTGACAATACCTAGACAATTAGTTTCATACAGGTAACAAATTTTTTTTTCCTGTTAGTGGGATTATCATGTTTATCCATATACATGGATCAGACTTGAGCAGAGTCATTGCCAACTATTGTTTTTATGTTTTTCAAAGTGGAAAAACCTTTAATCACATATTCCCTTGAATGCTGAAGAATCAAAAGTCCACAACACACTCATGCTACCACGTGAGGCATTTTCCATGGTCTCTTAATGAACTTACTTCGACAACACTTATAACGCCAAACAGAAATCCCCAAAGCTGGCAAAAGAATTTGAGCTTCAATGTGGAGCTCGGCTGTCAATGAGACAGCAGGCAAGGGAGTTAACCTGATTTTTCAAAGACTAAAGGAGCCCTCATGGCATCATAGCTACATGTTGGGCTGTGATCTGAAAGATCAGCAGTTCAAAACCACCAGCCTTTCTGTGGGGGAAAGATCAGACTTTCTACTCCCATAGAGTTACCGTCTTGGAAATGCACTGGGGTAGTTCTACACTGATCTATATGGTTACTGTGAGTCAGCATCAATGTGGTGGCAGGGAGATCGGTTTAGTTTCAAAGACTAAGGAACGTGGCGGTGCTCCTGGGTACACACTGGACAACTAACTGCACGGCCAGCACTTGAAGCCCATCAACTTCTCTGTCCACGAAGGAGGATTACTGTCTGCTCCTAGGTATTAAGTTTACAGCCTCAGAAATCCGGTATTAGGTTGCTATGAGTTAGAACTTACTCAATGGCAATGGGCCTGGATTTTGTTTTGTTTCTCAAAGACTAAAACCAAGCTTGAGTGTTGCTGCAAAACTACTATATAGAGTACTGTGTATACTCGAGTATAAGCTGACCAGAATATCAGCCGAGGCGCCTATTTTTACCACAAAAACTCCATATAAAATGTGCTGAAAAACTCGGCTTAGACAGAGTATATACGGTATCTTAATTCAACATTGAGCTAGATGTCATAGTTGAACTCTATGTCTGATTGGCCTCTAATCTGGTTTTTCAGGATCTAGCCCTGGACTCCACTCCAGAATATTCACCTTTACATAGCTATAGAAGGTGTTTCAGTGAAAGCATAGGTTAATCAGTGGTTCTCAACCTTCCTAATGCCACAACCCTTTAATACAGTTCCTCATGTGGTGACCCCAACCATAAAATTATTTTTCTGCTACTTCATAACTGTAATTTTGCTACTGTTATGAAGCGTAATGTAAAAATCTGATATGCAGGATGTATTTTCATTGCTACAAATTGAACATAAATAAACCTAATTAAAGCATAGTGATCAATCACAAAACAATATGAAATTATATATTGTGAAATATTTATGTGTTTTCCGATGGTCTTAGGCGACCCTTGTGAAAGGGTCATTCGACCCCCAAAGGGATTGTGACCCACAGGTTGAGAACTGCTGAGTTAGACCATGAGTATTTTCATGAGAACAACTCTTGCTGTTTCTCATTGCAGTTCTGCTGATTTCAACTCATCACAACCCCATGGGTTGCAAAGTAAAATTGCAACATAGGGTTTTCTTGGGTATCATCTTAATGTAAGCAGATTGGGCAAAAGAAGGACCAATATAGGTTGCCCCCTAGCATTTCTTTCATCTTTACATGGGACTCTCATCCTTTGGTTTGGTATTGCTGTTAATTGGGGAGACCTGGACTGGAATAATTTGCTCACAATCTTTCATCATTCTCTTTCCTTCCATCTTTGTTATCCCTTTGGATAATGGAGGGGAAGCCCCTAGCACAAAAAGAAACTGGGAAAAGTGGTAGTGAGAAGGAAAGTAGGAAAGATAGTGAGAAGAAATAATGAGAATGCAACTGTGTGTATGTGTGTGATGACGAATTAGAGAAAAAGGTTGAACCAAGAGGATCCTTACACATCATCCTCATTTTACAGTTGATGAAGTTGAGTGCAAGAAATATGAGGGAATGTCATTAAGTTCACAGAAAAAAAGAAGGAAAAGATAAGGAACGTCATCAGGAATTTTTGAAGCCCCTCATATTTACACCAATAATGCAGCTATCCAAGTGCAGAGCTGGAGAAGCGAGTTCAGACCGCCGTTGCCACCTTTATCAAAGTAATTCCTAATCTGTGCTACCTTGTTGAACCACGAAAGAAGATACGGCCTTTTGCTCCCACCAAACCACCTAAACACAAAGCTCTGAGCCTGAAAGGACATGGTGGCAAAGTTGATACAACATTTTTGTGGGGGGTTATGTGAGTATTCTGTGGGCGAGAGTCAAGGGAGGGATTATACTAAAGAACAAGATCACCTTTTACCTGACTATAGTACATACTTAAATCTTCAAACTTTCCCAAGGCAGATTTATAGAAGGTGGAGATATACAGTACACCTAATAACTAAATGGCAGTCCTAAGAGATCAACTATGTTGTCAGCAACTGCACTGCCAGACCACTTATAATAGCGACACTAATGTGTTTGAGTTACACTTAATACATTGGCTGTTTGATGCATTTCAACCATTGGTTCCAGGTCACTAGAGGTTAACAAGACAGTAGTGAATATAAACATAGTTGTGTTGGAAAAGATACACCAATAAATCAGACAGAATTTATTGGCAATTTCACACTTGGTGTGCTTTAGGTTAAGTTCCCAGTTTGAAAGCAAGGGAAAAACTCCATCAATGATCTTTTACTTTCTTCTAGGAGCAAGCGGAATAACCACTTTGATACTCACTGTTGTGTTTGAAGATCCTTATGGTCGCTCCTGATAGTCGGGCCCCAAGAATAAGAGATGCATGGTTTAGCTCATCACTTAAAATGAGGCATCCCTGTGTAGAAAATAAGCACACAAAATAAAAGTGATTAAGTAAAATCAAAGAAAAAATGTTGTGGGGATAGGAGAGTACTCCAAAATGTAGAGCAACAGATCCCCAAAACTCCCATCAAAATGTGAAAGGTCAAGAATTTAACCCAGTGCCTGGGTGAATAAAATTTGGATAATAATTACCTGGTAGATGTGGGTAGTGCTTGAAAGCATTACATTTTTACATACGTTATTTACAAACAGTTTCAGCAAAGATGTTCATCTAAGATCATAGTTAAGCCCTACTAAGTGTCAAGGGAACTGGTGCTTCACAGGAAGCATGGCTTACTGTTGAGTGGATGTGCTGGATGTGCACTTGGGTCCAGTACTGGATGATTTGGGGTGATTGTAGTGTACGACAACAAGCAGGGAGTGTGATGGATCAACCTATTTTTGCAAGATACTTAAACTATTGTTTCAGATGCATTTAGCATTCTACTGAGAGAGAACCATCACTGCTTTAGGACTGATATGGAAACTCTATTTGAGGTAAGAAGAACAATTTAATATGATTTACTACTTATCCGTTTGTGAAGTATTCTTAAATAAAAATGTGAAATTGTAAAATCACTCACACATATTAAACATACCATTTTTATATTTTAAAATATAAAAATATAATTTTTCTGAATTATAGTGGATTTACTATAGCGGTCTTTTGTGACCACCTAGAATGTTTGAATTCACCCTTATATTTTGATAATTTTGCACCCAATGTATTATAAGTGTCTGTGGTAAATGCCATAAAATGTCCACATATCCTAATTGTAGACTATGTTATATGTATATAAGATTTCCATCTTACATATGTGTGTTACTAGTAAACCTCATGGTATTTCTACTTAAAATTTTTTAGCATGTATTTTTTTATAACCATAGTTTATTTTTTTTGCAGACAACTAATTTTATCTTATTTTTTTTTATTTAAACATATTAGAGAGGGTTCTTATAGCTCTTGTAACAAATCCACACATCAATTTTGTATCGAGCACATTTGTACATATGTTCCCATCATTATTTTCTAGACATTTACTTTCTATTGAGCCCTAAGAACAAGACCATTCAATTACGAAATCACACTGCATTTATCACACAAGAAGTGCAGAATTTATTTGTTATCATTCTGAATTGGACAACCATATAGGCAAATATGTTGGAATGATTAGTTGAATAGAAGTGTTCTCAAATTCATCAATGGAAGCATTTCAAGATCTACCTGAAGTTCATTGCTGTCAGCAATAGGATAATATTCATACACATACAAAAAACACCAGTTAATATGGCTATATTCAAATATGTACCAACCACTAAGGCCAAATTTGAAGAAACTGAAGATTTTTATCAACTTCTGCAGTCAATCAAACATCCACTCAAGATGAATTTTTAATTATTAGTTATTGGCATCAGAAGTTGGGAACAGAAAAGGATCAGCCATTAATAATTTGGTCTTGATGGTAGAAAGGATGCTGGCAATTTCACAGAATTTTGGAAAAACCAATCATTTATTAATTGCAAATAATCTTTTTTCAACAACATAATGACCCATGCCATATGGAATACACAAGAGTTAAACAGACTATGTCTGCAGAAAGAGGCAAAAGAGATGCCCGATATCATCAGTCAGAAAAAGGTCTAGGTCCAATTGCATAACAGACCATGAATTGTTCATATGAAAGTTCAAGTTGAAGTCAAAGCAAATTAAAGTGAGCCCTGATGGTGTAATGGTTGCATGTTGGTCTGTGAACTGCAAGTACAGAAGTTCAAAAATCATGGCCTTGAGGCCTTGAATACATGCTACCTGCAGTTAGAGATCATCTCAAGCATAGATTTCATATGTTGAGTAGTTACGACTAAAGACCAGATCAGTTGTGAGATGACAAGAATATCATACATTAAACAGTTATTAAAAAGACAAAAATAAAGTAAAAATCAAAACAGATGTTAAAAGACACTCTGAGACTTGCTTTGGAATTTAGACTAAGTGAAGTGAAAGGAAGAAATGATGAAACAGAAATGTTGAACAGATTTCAAAGGGCAGGTCAGGAAGACAAAGTAAATGATTATAATAAGATATATAAAGACTTGGAGATAGAAAACCAGAAGGAAAGAGTATTCTTAGCATTTCTCAAGCTGAAAGAACTGCGGGGGTGAGGAAATCAAGTCTTGAGTTGCAATATTAAAGAACTGTACTGACAAAACATTAAAAGACACAGGAAGCATCAACAAAAGAAAGAAGGAATACAAAGAGTACCAAGATAACTGGTTGATGTTAAACTATTTCAATAGGTGGCAAGTACCCTGTTGTATTGAAGGAAAAACCCCAAACTACATTAAACAACATCAGCTAAAAATGAGATTTAAGGAATTCAGAATCTATTTGTTGACATCTCAATTATTATTCCCAAACTCCTGAAATCTTGTTTTTAGGCAATGCTTTTAGTGTAATACTAACTCTTGTATGCCAAGAAACTTAGAACAGATCTTAACCAAGTAACTAGAGTAGATTTGTATTTGCCCTGCTGCAAAGAGAGATGATTCAACAGAATGTAGAAATTATTGAATAATAATATTACACACAAGTAACATTTTGCTCAAGAAAATTAAAAATGGTTGCAGCAGAATATTTTTTTAAATCATTTTATTAGGGGCTCATACAACTCTTATCACAATCCATACACACATCAATTGTGTAAAGCGCATTTGTACATTCATTGCCCTCATCATTCTCAAAACATTTTCTCTCCACTTAAATCCCCGGCATTATATTGAAAAGGAACTGTCTGAAATTCACGCCAGACTCAGAAAAAGCTATGGAAAGGGGAATTTTATTACTGGTGTCAGATGGATCTCAGCTGCAAACAGAGGATATCTGAGAGATGCTTACTTATGATTCACTGATTTTATAACAGCATCTGCGTGAATCATGAATTAATTTCATAACTTAATTATGCTCAGGGGTAACATTCTTAGCATGTTCTAATAGAAAAAAGGGATATTGTGTGGTTTAAGATCAAGAAAGGTATGCATCAAGTTGTATTCTTTGACCATATTTGTTCAATCTATAAATGTGCAAATAATCTGAGGAGCTGGACTTTTTGAAGAAGAACACAGCTTCAGAATTGGAGGAAAGCTCATTGCCACCTGTAATTTGCAGATGACACAACCTTGGTTGCTGAAAATTAAGAAGACTGGAAGCACTTACTGAGGAATGTCAAAGACTACAGCCCTCAGTGTGGATTCTACCTCAACATGAAGAAAACAAAAATCTTTATCAGTGGACCAATAGTTGCATCACGGTAAACAGAGAATATTGATGTTAAAGGATTTCATTTTACTTGAATCTACAATTAAAAGTCCAGGGAAGCAGCAGCCAAGAAATCAAATCATGTATTGCATTAGACAGATCTGTTGCAAAAGGTCTATTTAAATTTTTAGAAGCAGAGTTTTTATTTTGAGGACTAAATTACCCCTGACCCAAGCCATGGTATTTTTAATTGCATCATTTGCATGAGAAAGCCAGACAAAAAGTAAGACCAAAGAAGAAGCAATGCCTTTGGATTATGATGTTGTCACAGAATATTGAATATACCACGGACTGCCAGAAGCATGGCCAGATATGTGTTGGAAAAAGTGAATCCAGAATGCTTTTTAGCAGTGAAGTTGGGAAAAGTCATGTTCTTTGAAAATGTCACCCGAGGGAACCAGTCTGCAGAAAAACGACATTGTGCTTGGTACAGTAGAGAACCCTAGCAAAGCCAAGCAAGATCCTCCACTGAATTGACTTACACAATGAACTCAAATGTAGCTAGGACTGTTAGGATGGGCAATGTTTCTTTTTGTTGCACACAGCATAAATTGAAATGGGCTCAAACAACAAAAAGGTCCCACCAAGTACCATCAACTGTCTGTCAATTTGTTGTCCTGTGGTAATTTTTGTCTTGCAGAAATCTATAGCATTGGCATTTTAAGTAGCAGCAAGGTCACTGGTTGTGGACAGGTTTAATGGAGTATCTGGATTAACATAGGCTGAAAAGAAAGGTCTGCAGACTTATTTGCAAGGTTAGTCAATAAAAATCTTACGGATCACAATAGGTCATTGTCTAATTTGCTTGCTTCGTACATGTGCTCAGCAGGGATCAATCTCTGGAGGATGCTTCATGTTTGATGACATCGAGGGCTAGTGAGGGTATACAAGATGGAAGGTTGCATACAGGAAGTGGAGGGTATGCAACAGGAAGTGAACATGCTGTTGCTTGTGAGATGAAGGAGGAGAGGGAAGCCTTTTGTTCTGCTCTGGGTAGGATGCCAGGAATCAGTTTCATTCTATTGCCATGAGTAGTTAATGCTATTAATTCTAGTCTATCATTTACTATACCATTCAAGTTCCAATTTCTCCAACTGATCTAATGTCTTTGCTGTTTCATTTCCGTCTACTTTTTTTAAGTTGAAGAATCCAATAAAGTATTATATATCACATTTAGTTACTTTAAGTCATTTTTGAAACACAAGTCTCATGATCACACTTGTTACCTTTGAATGAATTAACCGATGTCCCATTTTTCTCAGGATGGATTTCAAATATGTTAGCATGCTTTATACCTTAAGATCCTCATCACTGGCTTCTTCTTCCACACGTGTCCTACAGTCTAGTTCCTTCAGAAACTGTGGTTTTCACATGGAACTATCTTTTCCTCATCCTAAGGAAATAGCTTATTTATTAAGGCTCAATTTTAATGTCGTTTGCTTCGCCCAGGCATCTCAGACTTCAACAAGAATGGTTTGGGACAACTCTTTTACATTCCCTGGGTACAGTCATAACTTTTTTTAAAGTATTCATTCTATTTAATGTGCTATTTCCACTCTTAGATTATAAAGTACACAAATGGCAAGATATATTATCATTTTTGTATGTCTCATATTTTCTCTTGCCTCATATTTGGACCCAGTAGATTCTTAGTAAGTGGTTTATTGCCTAAATAAATTAACACTTGACATTGGCAACATGTTTTGAAGCAAGCAAATGTTTAATACTTGTTATTTACATTACAAGTAGGGTCCAAGAGCCTAAAATAACTGAATTAACTATGCTAAACCATCTTTGAACATTAATTTTAGTAGATATCTAGGGATATCATGATGAGTATCAGAAATACCATGATGAAGAGATTTGGTAGACTAAATGGAACATTCGCTCAAAAGCAGATTTGTCAGCTTTTCTTAAGAAGTTACAGTCATAGTTCCTAAAGGACCTGCTCAGAGTTAGAATTCTTAGAAATAAACATATTGCAAGACAATGTTGTCAGCATATTCTCACCTTTCCCACGAGTGCAGGGATATTCATTGAATTTGTTGCATATCCCATCCCAAAGACCATTGCTGCTTCTACATTCAGGAATTTAGCCACAAGATCCTCCAACTCTTTGTGTTTGTCCAGGGTGCCTGCACAGGAAATGATAGGATTAGTGAGCCTTCTCTTTCAACATGCCCAAGATCTAAATCTCAACCTCCAACGTGTACTCATTATAAAACATATGTGCAAGAGTGTCTATAGCAGAGATATGTGTAATAGGTTCAATCTCGAATCAATCCCAATGCTAACTATGGTAGAATATGGAATTCAGCACATTGATTAGAAAGAACTACTACATATGTGAATATCACAAATATGATATGTGTTTTAGTCTGGGTACTTTAGAGAAATAAATCCACAGAAACTCATATGTATAAGAGAGAGTTTTATATAAAGGGCAAGTGCACATCAAGAAAACATCCCAACCCAGTGCTGCCCAAGACCACAAGTCCAACATTAACCCATATGTCCGACACCAATCCACAAAGTCCTCCTCTGTCTCACAAAACAGATACAATGACACCGACTGCAGGAGGAAAGCTGAATCAGTGAATGTGTAAGCATCTCAGCGCTGACAGGGGTCTCCACACGGCTGCTCCAGCACCCAGGGCTGCATCAGGGTAGGTCCATGTGGCTTCTCCTCAGGGATATCTTGCAGGAAGTGAACCATGAAAGCTGAAGCAGGGAACTGGCTAAGGCAGCTGCACCCTGGTCTGACTAGCAGAAAGCAAGATACTTGAGCACTCGAAAGGTGAGGCTCACCAAGCCATTTATTTCTCCACCTTTCAATTAACCCCACATGTGTTTATTGGCCAGGTTGGTACAATAAACTTTAACTATATAAATCCACCCCTTGCCAACTTGGCACCTGTATATCATTCTTTGGCCTCACAATTGCAATTCAGTAACACCTACACTTTAATCCTGTGAATATGTTCCCCCACCTATGAAAGTTTGTAAGCCAACCGCTTCATGCCTTTATCCACCAGTTTTGGGTATCCAATTTACACACTGCCCACTTACATCAACCCAGTGCTCTGAGGAGACAATCATGGTTTTTAACTTGAAGAATCTTCATTACAATTGGAACCTTGTGAAGTACGCATCCATAAGCAAAGTCAAATCCAGACAGGCCATCCATAAAGCCAGCTACAATATGCACCAGTTCACAGGCTCAAAAATCTCCAGCTGGTCGGGTTCTGGTCAACTCAATGTGGGCTCCCTCACTTAGCCTCCACAGGGTACCCACTGGACACCTTGCCTTTAGACCATGGGCTCTCACCAATACTCAACAAGCCTAGCCCCCTCGTGCTAGATCATGAACTTTAGACCAGTCAACCCACTCTCCTCTTCTCCTCTTTTTCCTGTAAACCAAGCCCACAGGTGTCAGTGGCCAAACTCAACCTATCTCTTTATTGCTGAACTTCTCCCACTTCCATTCAACAAGTCACCTAGCAAGCATCTCAGCCTGCCCACAGGCTCCCTTTAACGTTCAGTCCCAGAGAGGAGTTTTCTTCATGGTTCCAGATTTTTTTCTAGCTTCTGACAAAGACCATTGGTTCCTGAGAACTCCAAAGCACATCTTTTCAAAGCTTTCTTTGCAGGCGTGGCCTAAACCCATCTAAAGACCAAATTTTAATGTTGAAAACAAGTGGGCTTACAAGCTTTTTATTTTCATATTTCCCTTATTTTCCCCAGAAAAGAACAGAGTAAACAACGTGGCTTTATCTGATGGCTGGCTAGACAAAGTAGAAAAACTACCATGAGGGAGAGGTCAAAGAAACATCTCTTCTCCATCTTATGATTTGTTTCTCCAGTACCCCTCTCCCAAGGTACCATAATGTGTTAGTCTGGGTACTTTAGAGAAACAAATCCACAGAAACTCATATGTA